AGTTATAGTCAACCTTGATCGTGACAATTATTCTAGTCAGAAATCAATCTAGTTTCGTTATCTGCTACAGACACTCATGACGGACAGAATCGAACGTAGCGGCAAAGTCGACAAAACTGACGGTCGTGGGTTGCTGGTAGCCATGGCGGAATTCCAGAATGCGCCTCGGTGGTAATATTTGGTCTAAACATCCACACCCAACTCGGAATCCGACTTGGTTGGGCCTTGTCTTAAGGTCTCGTACAGACTGGAGTCGTCTGAGAAATGCAATAGTGAAGATTTTCAAAGCAAATTCGATAAGGCTTAAGTTGGTCGCACCATTTCACTGTCGATAAGGAAGGGTAAGAACATGGTACCTCAATTTATATGCATTTGGGCAAACCGAGTGCATCTCTTTGGATGAACCAAACCACGATAATGCATGACCATAAGAATCTGACCACAAAATTAGCTGGTTCCTTATCAGAGATCAGTAACGCACCTGACTGTGCCATAGGATCCATGACCGGCAACGGCGAGAGAGTTGTACCTCGATGGCACTGTCCAGACGGTCTGATTTACTTCAATGGGTACAAATTTGCGATCCTCTCCCATGACGCAAGAAAGCGGCAGAGGGAACCTGCTTGTTGAGAATGTTCTGAAGAAAAACAGAATGGGACAGGTAAAATAGCCGGAATGAAAGAATTATACGATTCATTGCAAAAAAGATGTGCGCTATTAAAGGAATCCAGCAGTGGCTCCTGGTGCGAAAGAAAATGCGAAAAGGAAGGCAGAAAAAATACTAAGAAAGTTTGAAGCCAATGGGATAAACTGCAATCGCACTGACTGGAGATGGCCCTTCATCGGTGCCAAGGACGATAAATGAGATAGCGACACCAGTAAAGGCGGGTTACCCGTTAGCCTAGCTGCTGGCTACCTGGCGCGTCTACAGGTGACGGATAGTGGCACGGCCGTCAGTGAAGGTTAGCTGCAAAATAAGCAGGCTCCCGGGTCTGGAAAATAAGCAGTCGCGGAACCAGAAAAGACAGTGTTACCAGGGCGCGGAGGGCTGAGGTCTGGCGCCTTATAAAATGCCGCAAGTCCCAATGACGGTACTGTCACATGGCAAGCGTGAACCGCCATTAAGTAGGTTTGCTTGCCAACACTACCTTGTGGTAAGGTTGTTGAGCCAAA